ATATTATATTATATTATATTATATTACATTATATTATATTATATTATATATATTTACAAACTACCTACCTAACATACAAAAAATTTCCAAATGGGATGTTTAAATTTTATTCTAATCAGATTAGTGGAATTGTCCAAATATCTAATTGATATCCTAGATTGGGAGATACAAAGTAATAGTCCTTATCTAGCAGGCGGAGAAAGCGCTTATTTAAAGCCGAGGCAGATTTAAAAGAGGCAGTTAATAATATTAACTTACTTAATATACTTTCTCCGCCGTGTTGTATATAATATTTTTTTTCAAGAATTTAATAATTCTGTACTTACATTAAAATGATTGAGTTTGCGACATTGTCAGGTTTGACGTTGTGTCGTACCTAGGCTGGTTATGGCCTTAAGTACTTCACCAAGGTTCCTCTCTGGTTGACTCTCCAGATATAGAGGAATACCTACCTCGGGTTGCTTTTATTCAGTGGAGAAAGTAGGGTTTATAAGAATCAGTTAGGGTTGGTGGTATAATTTAAAATGCAAAAGTAACTTAAACTGGTTTATTTACAAAGGTAAAAGTATGTACAAAATTATATTACAATGATACAGTATTTGCAAAAGTATCATAGACCATGAACACAAAGGTTCTTTCATAGCCTTTAGTCAGGACAGGCAAATGTTCCAGGGCTTTTCACAGTCAACTGGCAGGCACGGGCGTAGTTTTCAGTTCTACAGAGAGACAGGGCAGATTTGCAATTGGACTTGTTAATATTCCACTGAGAGTTCTCTGTGATTTAGTGGTTGGTTTTCGGGCTCACAATTGGTAACACCATTTGGAATTGAGCCACCAGACGACTGATTGTCCATTGAAATATGCAGCGGTTTTATAGACGAAATTCTGATGACAGGCTTGATGAAAAACAATTAGGGCCGTGTGAAATAAATCCGTCACACGGGCCGTGTGCAACAAGTGTTGACAACACATATGCGGTTGACAACTGTCCAAGCGCTATCTTTTAGAGTTCCGTCTAACTGCAGGTTTCTGGTAGTCCAACTCTTTTCTTGACGTCGGGTGGTTAGGAAAATCATCTCATAGATGTCATAATGTTTTTTTTACTTTACAACGTTTGGGCCTATATGTTATATTATAGGTTATGTACATGAATTTATTCTACATTGACCTGTAAGTTAACATTTTCTTTGCTGATTTCGAACTATGTAATTTAATAATAATAATAAATTAACGGATATATCCGTATATATACCACTTTACAATAAAACATTAAGATTGTCCATTGGTAATTATTTTTTGATTACATTGTTTTTTAAATATTTCCAATGAGCAATTAAAAAAACCAAATCATGTTTGTTTGCATCATAGCACATTCTGTTTATTGGCATGAGTTCAGCATTTTCGGTTCTATATTTTTTTATGTGAAATATTAATATATTTCGCGTCCGTCTCATCTGGACATTAAAATTAATCTGCGCTAATAAGTCAGAGCAATTAATAAAATTATTTAGCAATTTAAATAGAAAAATAATTTTAAGTTCTGTTCTTTTAGGACCTCATACATTTAGTTGTATTGTATTTCTTACCAATTCTAAGCTATATTTTCATCTTTAATTTAAATCCACATTATCGCAAACACTTGTTTTGAATTGTTTTAATTCTTACCCATGAATTAACATAAAAAGGGGACAAAATAATACTCTAAAATGCTTACATGCATTACAGGACATATAAACAGTTTTAATAGTTCCATAAAATTAATCACACCACAGTTGAATCTGATTTAAATCCAATTGAATGTTATAACAATCTTTTATATAATTTAAGATCGTCGGCAAATAAAAAATACTTAAAAAACTTAATACCTCAGCCAATATCATTTATAAATAAGTTAAATAAAAGAGGGAAAATATGTCCTCCTTGTGGCACGCCAGAAGAAACCTGAATTTTTTTAGACTTGTATTGATTTTGTATGATAATTGTTTGTATTCTTGGACTAAAAAAACCCTTCAACCAACAGTAAAAGTTTCCTGATATGCCCAAACCCTTTATTTTTGCTAGCAAGATTTGATGGTTACTGTGTCAAATGTCTTGAAGAAGTCAGTATAGATAGAATCCATGGATGCATCTGGTTTCGTTTAACAAATCTAGTTTATAAACAAGTAAATTTGTTGACGTAGACCTACTATGATGCTCATCTATTTTTAAACAAAGGTTTTATTTTATTGGTTATAATTTTTTCCATAACTTTGAATATTTGCGGTATATTAGATATAGGAGGATAATTTTTTACATTGTTTCTTTTCCCATTTTCAAACAAAGGAACAATGTAACTTTTTTTCCACAAATCTGGAAATAATGTATTTTCATTATTGTACGGCGGTGTATAATAAATTGACTTTGAGGTTGCGTACAAATATGAAGTCTTTTTATGTAGGTTTAAGAGTGTTATAATATGAAAATTATTATACGCTTAAAAAAAGGTAATTATCTTAATAGTTGTAATATACGCTAAAGAAGCATCGGGTTTTCGCAACGCGCGCGCCGCGCCTTTGGTGCTGTTCGATAGCATTGTGTGAATTCAAGAATTGTAGACAATACCTTTAAAGCATACAAACTACACAATATTTTTATATAAATAATTAGTTTTTTTCAAAAAAAAAGAAGTCTTACTCGACAAATTTTGTTCGCAATGTTTTAATTGCACAGCTAAATCGCGCACGTTATTTGTGTTTCGCATTGCAAGTAAAAACGAAAAAACTTTGGTTTAGTGCTCCATTTCGATTATGATCCAAATGGAATAATAATAATAATGGAATAATAATTATTATTCCTTATATTATTTATATCAAGAAACTCGACGCTTATATGCTTATATAGTTAAAATAAAAATAATATAGTTAAAAGATCATCGTGAATTATTGTGTTTTTAATTGTGAATAACATTCAAGAACTAAATTGTTGCATTTTCATGTTTTAACTAATGATAACTTTACCTAATATGATTTATATTTAAGTTTAAACATTTTTAAGAAATCTAACAAAAAATAATAGTTGTACAAACATAACCTTAAAATCAAACATTTTAAACGACAAAATATATCTACGAATTTATGTCAACATAATATTATGTATAATACATAATATAAAATCGGTTATTCGTAGTTTACTGTTGAGTGGAGACTTTCTTAATCAACGCTTAATGCTAAATGCTGTTTGACTTATTTGTTTTATGATTTTTACTGAATTGAAATTTTTACAATTTTTACGTAAATTATTACTAAAATGTGTATTTTGTAAATAGGTACAATTATATATATAATTATATATATATATTTACAGGGACTATAACCAATTCATTTCTTCATTAGAATTTCCACTGTTTATTGGGAAACCGGTAAAAACTCAACTCAGGATTTCCTATCTAAAAACACCCAACAACACAACAAATCGTGCCACGGTTTTTTTGATTATAACATTTTTCGGCTTTATTCTCAAACACATTTTTTTGTTACATACGCGTTTGACAGCTGCTTATTAGAAGCTGAATTCTGTTTACGATTATAACGGCCACACTGTTCAAAATTTTATGACCATTTTAACACCAAATTAACACCATACATGGTCTATATCGATACAAACCAAAATGGTGTTAAATATGGTTCGTTGGTCCGGTGTAAATTTAAATACTAAAATAGTGTAAATTTAACTTTCACAAAGTATTAAAATAAATTTTACCTGGTGTAAATTGAACTCTTTTTCAGTGTTAAATATTATATGTTTTTGGTCAAATTAAATCATACTACAGAAAAAAAGGAAAAAAAAAGGAAACAGGAAGTTCCTTGACGCATTTCTAGTATATTACCAGTGGTATTATTCCAGAAAACTGAACCTTTAACTCGCTAGACATAATGTTTTTAGTGCGTTCCACCAACTTAACAAGTATTGACAGCTGTTTCCACCTATTTAAGATCTTGTAAGTATCGAACAACTTGTCTCACACCAAAGCAAAGGACTACCTGAGCTTATATACTCTTCATGCAAGTCAACAGAGGCGAGATCGGTACATACTATGCAACCAGGAATGCACGGCAAATTGTTTTAATGGTTTTAACAAAGTACTTTAGGTTGAAGTAACTCTTATTTTACAAACAACATATTTAGTAAACTGAACCATACATACTAAAAATTTCTGGGTTAATTTAACAAATTTAAAAAAAAAAATAACTATCTGGTTTAGTACCGTCAAACTAATCTTTGTTTATTATATATAACCTTCCAACAGTTGATTTAAATAAGTACTTATGGGTCAACTAAATTAATATATGTAGTTAAATTAAATATTCTTTTTTTTCTGTGTAGGTGTTTGCTTTATATGACATTTTCAACCTTAATTCATGGTGTTTACCAGTTGGTGTTGGATTTAGACACCATTTTAAAATTACCCTTTACACCACAGATATTTTAAATAGTGCACGTGGTGGCGCTACTAGCGATGCTTCTTTAGGGTATAACTTAATTTTAATGTTTTTTAATTAAATTAAACTTGGATAGTTTATTTATGATATTGATCTCCATTATCGGGAAATACAGAATAAAGGTATTAATGTCTTTGAAGTAGATTAAAATAGGACAGTTCTAAAATATTAAAAGGGCCTTTAAGTATATGTCCTTTATATGCCCAATTAAAACTTTTTTTCACAAATATTTTTCCGAGGCAAATTCTTTGGCAGAGGTACATAAATAAAGAAGACTTCTATTAGCAAAATATTTATGAAGTCTGAAAACTTGAGGACAACGTGGTGTAAAATAAAGCCGCCGCGGCGTTTCTGCAACAGCCAAAGAAATGTAAAATGGAGTGCGCGGGGTGAAAAGAGATCACAAGGGTTGAATGTGGGCTAAGAAGGGACGCACACAACCGACTGCACCGAGCTGCGACGTACGTGCTCGGGCTTTCCGTAGGGGTAGGGATGTTCAGATGGAGTTTCAAGCTTGAACGTGCGGCAGTTTCGTTGCCCGGGTCTTGCTGACTGAACTTGCTACTGGCACTCGCTGTCGAATGCTCGCACGATCAGAAGCATCGAAATCGTTCACTTTTCGCCTCTTTCGGCGAGCCGATAAACATTTCTTGTTTATAAAACGGATTAACTACAACAAAAACTACCTTTGCAGTGGTGCGAATCCAAAAACTCTGACAAATAAAGGACTTGCGTTTTATTTTTCCGGTTGTTTTATTTTTCAAGTGGTCACTTGTGTGAAAAATTTATTACGACATTATGTTCTAGTGGAACATTTTCTTGCTTATTGTAATTTGTGGTTTTATTATGGAGCTTAAAATAAAAAGGTAAGAATTACAAAACTTTGTCGTTTCCCTATAGTTATTACGTTTTGTATAAATTATTCTGTTTTCTTTATATCAATTAAGCATTAAACATAAAATCCATTAATTAATTTATGGACCTACCTTTATAAATAAATTCTATAAAATTAATTTAAAAACAAACTTTTTAATTAAAATATATTAAAATATTATTACATTTTTATTGCTTTGTGGTATATAAACATAAATATTAACAAGTATGTTATGTCTTTGTTAATAACCCTAGAATTGAGTCTTTATGTATTTTATAAGGCTTTTTATAGAGCATTTAAATTTTATTATATTTACTTATACAACATTCAATTTGTAGCTTTTATATTTTCATGTTTAGGTATTTATAAAGTTGAATTTTTTATTAATAATGTAAAAGAAGGCTTAACATTATTAAATCATGAAATAGTATATTATGTATCAAGTTTTATAAACGCTATTTTAGTTACTGGTTTTATTAGGTTTAATAAAAACGAGTGTCTGGAGAAGACGATGCAACTATACTTTATCTACGACGAACACCAAGAAGAATCTAAAGTCAATTTTATTTGTTAAAAATTTGAAATCTGTCAACTGCTGTGCTTTTTCCCAATTTATAATAAAGCTTAGCCCCTGACTAAAATGCTCAAAAGCCACTGTTGATAAATTCAGCCCGTGACTAAAACATCATACAGTTACAGCTTATCAATGGGGAAGTAGATAATAGTATATGTATCAAGTTTGATAAACGAGCGAGCTTGCAAGCGAGTGCTTAATTAAATGAGTGACTAGAAAAGTTTATAAACGAGTTGCATACTATACTTTTTCAACTACAAATGCTTAATATTATTTAAAAAATAATTTTGATAAAAATTTTATAAAGTGACTATACGAAAATAATAATTTTTGACGTAATTTTTACCATTAAACAATTATTGATACTTTAAAATAATAAAAATAAAATAACTTAAAAATATGTTGAAAAAATATTTTATCCTTTGAATTGCATAATATTATCAGAAAGTATTAAACATTCTTACACGGTAAATGTTAAGGGTACTAACTTGGGAATCTCAATTTTTTCTGTGTAAATAAAAATGTACGCCTTGAAAATACAACTAACAATCGATATAAAAGCAGTTTTTCACAGTAAAAGAGAAGAGAATGTTTTATGGGCATGTAAAATTTTTAACGCTTTATCTGTTAAATCTAGTTAACTGCACAAGGTACTACAGCGAAATCAAAAGGTCAGTACGTTTATATAATCTTTTCAAATATTGGCGTCAAGAAATTATTTAATACTTTTGCATTTTGTATTGAGATAATAAAATAATTTTCACATTTAGTATTATTTTACAAGAAAGACACTTTATTTTAACGATTGTATGACGTTTGACCACTCTCAACAAACTAAAAACTAACTTCAGCCCGTGACTAAAAACCTGTTGTTAACTTCAACCCTGTCAATGTGTATTTAAAAAATCACTTAGTGTCATGAAAACATGGACGATAATGTGCGTTTTAAAGGTGGGATTAGAAAAAATGTTTTCTACTCAAACTGACAACCTTGTAAACCTGAACTGTATGTATTTTAAGACTTTTATTTGTAACAAAAATTATGTTATTTTTCTACAAATCTCCCGCGCTAATGTTGCTCCTTACTGTAACTAACTCAGTTTTGATGGGTAATAAAATTGCACACTTCAGTAGGAAATACACTTTTACCTGGAGTCTTTTCGAAAAACTTTATGTAATACGAGCCGACGATAATTTGGGAGCATATTTCTCTCACGACCGACTTGTTCGTACAAAGAAGTCCTCCCCCTTATATTTAAAATCATAATTGTTATACCAACAAGGGGCTGCAGAATGAGAGTAAACACTTATTTTCCACACAATAGGAACACTGATAGCTTTTGGTTTTTATTTGAGTTTGAAAAAATATTTATTTAAGTATAAAAGTTTTAAAATTGGTTAAAAGGATTTAAAATAAACTCACCGTCTTTTAATGCATATTTTAGGTATGTACGCTTATGGGTGTATTTTAAAGGTTTTTATTACTGTAGTCATAAAAATCTTTAGATATAAAATAACATATACCTACTTTTTACATTAAATTGAATTTCAACAGTACTTCAAAAATTATCCTTTAAATATTTAGTTACATTGTATAGGCCTTAACATTTATTTTAAGTTTTGGTTTTAGGATTAGTTCAACTATTTATAGGTACTATATTATTATTTTTCTAAACAATATAGTCATATGACTACATATTATACAGGGTGTTTATAATTCGTGGTCCATTAAAAGTTTCTGGGCAAAAGATATCGATTTGAAATTTTTTAAGCGTTTATAACCCAATTAAGTCTATGTTTCCAAACTAACTTAAAACGTTAATAACTTTTTATTTTAAATGTAACACCCTGTATGCTTGTATACAATTAAATAGGAAATATTTAACAATTTATAATACCTATTAGACCCAGAATAAACAAGAAGAGCAACATCAAATCTAGAAGTAAGAATGGGGTAGTTAAATTTTTTCTGACCTATACTTTTTATGGTTTTATTCAAGGCGTTTTGTAATATTAAACATTTCTGTGAAATCAGAATTTCAATTGAGTTTACCGTTTTCGAGATATTTACAAAAAATATAAATTTTTATGACGTCACAAACCTCGCCATGTGACCAAAATTCTAAGATTTCTATTGGTTGAAAATTACCCTGTTGTCAAGTTGTCTTGTTAATGATTTCATTTGGTTATGTCAGAAAATACCCGAAGAGGTTATGTACAAATTCTGTCACTGTCAGTTGAGTGAAAGATGGTCACCAAATTCATTAAGTACCTATCTTCCTTATTACGATGTATCATATTACTGTTTGATATTTTAGAGTCCAAGATATATCTAAAAGAATATAAAGAACTAGGCATTATACTAATGAAATGCATTTACGACAAAATATGATTATAATTATAGGTAATTACTTTATTTGTTTAAAAGCTTCAATGTTCAATGTAACCAACCATTCCACAAGATTCCTCTGCTTTGGAGTCGGTTATTAATAAATCACTTATCTAATATCAATTACAAATGACATAACAATAACATTGATTTTCAATAATCTAAATTTAAAAAAAACATAACCCGAAAAAAAGAAACGCCAAAAAATCAATTCTTCTTCTTCTTCTCAACTAAAATTATAGATCAAGTGGTTTTAAATCTAAAATATTATAACGTGGCGGCATCTATCGTAAGAATCTTAAACTTAACACACTGGCAACCATAGAAAAAGCTGGCAACGTTGTCAATAGCCTAGTGACGTAATTAGAAGATTTTTTTTTGTAAATAACTCGAAAACGGTAAACTCAATTGAAATTCCAATTTCACAGAAATGTTTAAAATTACAAAACGCCTTGAATAAAACCATAAAAAGTATAGGTCAGAAAAAATTTAACTACCCCATTAAGAAATGCTTGAATGTAAATGTGGGACACTTTGAACACAGTAATAATTTAGTAATAAAAATTGTTATTTAAAATATTTTTGATTTATTAAATTGTTACTTATTCATTATTTTTGTTATATAAATATTTGATGAAATAAATTTTATATATAAGCTAGTGTTCATCCTATAGCTTTTATTGAATTTTTTTTTCAAATTAGTAAATATTGTTTGTATTACTTCTAAATTTTTGGCTTGTCAATTTTTTTTTATAATTCACTGACTGCTATTTTTTATCAGGTTTCTTGATACAAAATAATATTTAAAATTTTATAAATTGTTAAATATCTCTGAAATTATTAACTTTATTTACTTTTTGATCAGGTAATTTGTTGAAAAATGTTAAAAAATTCACATGAAATCCTTAAAACAAAGTTTTAAGATTCCAAAATTTTTATCTTGGTTATAGGCTTTTTTTGATTGACGCGCATTTTTCAAATCAACTCGAAAACTATTCACTTTAGGTATAGAAAATCGTAAAGTAATTTTACTTAAAATTTAAAAATATAAAAATTTATAACATAAATAACAAAGTTGATTTCACTTCAGTTAAACCAAAAGTGGAATTTTGTTCAAAATATTTTAGAAAAATAGACTTAAACTTATAAACCCTTTTAAAATTTCAAATCGATATCTTTTTCGTTCCCCAGAAACTTCTAATGAACCAAGAATGTAAAACACCCTGTATATAAAAGGGTGGTTATTATTTGGAATATGTTCGATTTTTTTAAAGAAATTCCTAAACCGGTTTAAACAAGTTTTAGCTCTTTATATTAAGCTGGCCCCCACGGCATGCATGCAGTGTCACTCAAAGTATTTTTTTAAATAAAACTTTAAATTTTATAACTGGTAATAATTGATATAAACATTTAAAATTTAGTAGTTACTTATATGATGTACATAAAGACAATTTTTTTCAAATTTCTGCTATTTAGACCAGTTAAATCGGGATTTTACTTCTGTTTATGAAAGTAAAATTATTTTCTTAAAATTGTTTGCTTTACTTATCTTTCTTTTTATAATTTTTCCAAATATTTTTGAGACAAAAAAAAGTTAAAAAAATCGTTAACAATGTTAAAAAGTTTTGCCGACTTAAATTTTCTCTATAAGAAGGATTCTAGGTAGATCTTTATTATAAATTTCCAAAAATTTATAACCTCAAATCCAAAATAAGCCTAATTAATTAACATGTTGAATTGTTTGTTAAGTGAACCAAAAATAAATTATTCCGTAGTTTCAGCTTTATTTTTGGTCGTGATGAGCAAAATCGAGCACCATCTAATTTTAAATTTAACAATAGAAATGTCGCTGAAAAAGATATTAGTCAGCTAGATAAATAACAGATGTAAACACAACGACTATCTATTTTCATCGATAAATTTACTATTATTGGCTCTAATCACGAAACCTCCCACTGAATTGTAAAACTTTAAAAGGACAATACGGGGTTTTGGCAAATTTATTAAGTCATAAGTCACTAATTTATTA